CTTTAGCTTCTCCATTTTCACTCCTCCTAACCAAAAAACCAGTAAATTCTCCTCCATGTTTCTGATTAACAAAAATATTGAGGAACATGCCTTTTTAACACCACAGTGACCAATTGGACCAGTCAGTGGTTTACTAAATGCTCTCTTTGCCACAAATAATGACTTTATCAAGCACTTCCTCTGACAATATTCACATGACTCCGTTTCTTTTTTTTTTTTTTGATTCTTAAAGACCTACCCATGGAATACCATACCATCTCATCAGCCAAGACTCTAAATAGTGGCAGCAAAGATAAATAAGCATTCTCAAGTATAATCTTTATAACAACTAAATTTCATTGAACCATAAATAATTCTGTTACTATAGATTTTAATTCCATTAATCTTCAAAACAACTCTAAGGCAACTATTGATATGATCCCAATTTTGCTGAAGAGGAAATTGAGACACAAGAGTAGTTACTTTGTCATTAAGTAACTATACAATGCATATTTATTATGAAAAATGTCAAAAAATTCCTACTTTTCCAAAGAGAAATAATTACAACCGAGGATTACTTACAATTATATACCACATAAACTGAAGTAATAATGCTCACGATCAATCAGACTAGCACTTCAAGTATTTTTCCAGGACTATGCTTGATTAAAGGTGATTCATCCATTAATAAAGATACTGTGATTTGTCTTTCAGCCTTCATAGCCTGTAATGCTATTTTACTTTAATAATCTGGAAACTGCCAAATCACAGAACTCCAGACAAGAAAGGCAATTCAGAGATCATCTGATTTAAAGTTTTATTTTAAAAACAATTGTATTTTGAATATCTAAACAAAATTCTGATAGAAACCTTAGTTTCCCTATGTCACATAGTAGTTCACTTTGGTTCATTCACCAGAATTTACTCTTATCTTTCCCAAAGATTTCTACTGACACCAACAAAGTCATAATGGTTTGGAGATTTACTTTCAGACATTGTGAACTTTTTTCCTTTTTCTTTAAAAAACATTGTTTGAGGGTCACACCATGCAGTGCTGAGGGCTTACTCTGACTCTGTGCTCAGAGAGCATTCCTGGTTTGCTTAATGGAATCATATGGGGTGTCAGGGATTTACCCTGGTTGACTGCATGCAAGGCCAGTGCCCTACCCACTGTACTATCTTTCTGCCCCCCCCCCCCGTGAGTTTTCTAATCATGTCTAAAGTCAAAGTCAAACTAAGAAATAGTCAGCCTAAGAAATAGTTTCAAGTGTCATCTTACCAAAGAGCCAGTCCAGAGTTACAAATTTCCCTTACAGAAAAAAGGGAAATTTTGTTTCTTATTCACATGATTTAGAAACTGCTTTTTCTTAGTGCTTCTGAGAGTCTCACTTCATTTTTGCCAGAAACCTTTCCCATCCCACTCTTCACCTCTAGCATTAGCCTCCCATTTACACCAAGAGCTTTGCACTATTATTCTTTCACAAGGCAACTGGTCATCACCACCACTTGAGGCCCTTCTTAGAAGCTGTCTAGAAGATAGTAAATGATACCGTTCTGGGTTGAAGGAGGAGATATAGGAACCTAGTAAGCAAAGTCCCAAGAACTCTTGCTGTAAGAAACATCAAGTTAGTACTTCTCGTGTTAGGATAGTGGTGGAAGAACCTTGGCACTCAAGTCAGGGGCAGAGTAGCAAGCTCTCCTGCACTGCTGGAAAGAAGTAGATTAAGAGACCCAAGATGTCCAGCTCTTTCTATAAATACCTTCAATCTATTCTGCTTTCAGAGCCATCTGTTACCATGTTGTTTTAGAGGAACCTCATGCCTCAAGTGCCAGAGCCTTTTAAGAATGTATTGGAGTAATTTTGCTTTCTCCTGCAGCTAACTATTGGATTTTCTTTTCTTTAAAAAAAAATTGTGTGTGTTTTGTTTATCGGCGACACCCAGCAGTGATCAGGATTTACTTCTGGCTCTGTGCTCAGAAATTACTCCTATTGGTGGCCCAGGGGTTAGATGGGGTGCTAGGAATAGAACCCAGGTCAACCATATACAAGGCAAGGACCCTAACTGCTGTACTTTCTCCAGCTCCAGCCATTGGAGTTTTCTCCACTCTTCCCCTATTTAGACAGTAGCCATTTCTTTGTAGACTATTCCTATCCTTATACTCCAATTGAGTTTATGAACAAGCTCCTTATTTTTTTCCTCTGGTCTTCTGTTTGTGTTCCTCTGTTTTTCCTCTGGTAGAATTTCAATAGGGAATATAAATAACTTTTTCAGATAGATAAAATTTCAGTATATTTTGATTTTGTTTTTATTTGTGGATCACACCAGGCTGTACTCAGGGTTCATTCCTGGCAGACCTCAGAGAACCATATGTAGTGACGAAGATGTAACCAGGTTAGCAGTGAGCAAGACAAGCAACTTACGCACTGCACTATTGCTCTGGCAATTATAGTACAATTCAAAGTCAGGAAATGCAATGTCTGACATCTTCTTTTTTATCTTCAAGTCATTTTGGCTATTCAGGGAGTTTTGTAATTCTATATGTAAGATAGTTCTTGGTTCTTGGTAATTGAATGCCTTTGGAATTTGAATGGGGACTGCTTTAAATCTGTATAACGCTTTGTGTAGGAAGGTCATAGGGACAAGGTCTATCCATGAACATGAACTATATTTTAATTTTCTTGTGTTCTTTTCTGGGCAGAAGCAATACTGACAGCACAGCGGGTAGGGTATTTGTCTTGCATGTGGCCAACATTGCTGACCCTAATTAGATTCCTCTGCCCCTCTCGGAGAGCCCGGCAAGCTACCGAGAGTATCACACCTGCACGGCAAAGCCTGGCAAGCTATCTATGACGTATTCAATATGCCAAACACAGTAACAAAAAAGTCTCACAATGGAGAAGTTACTGGTCCCACCTGAGCAAATAGGTGAACAACTGGAGGATGGTGCTACAGTGTTCTTTTCTATTTCTTTCAATAGTTACTTAGCGTTTTCTCAATATAAGTTTTCCACATTCTTTGTTAACTTGATTTCTATGTATTTAAAACTTGAAACACTGTTTTGAAAGTTTTCTTTTCTTTGTTTTCTAGTTTATTATTTGCATATGGAAATTCAACATTTTATGTGTCAATTTATAGTTTCCATCTTGCTGTGTTGGTTTATTGTTTCTAAAAGTTTTTTGTGAAATAGTTAAGGGCTTCTAAGGAAATCATCATTATCAACTGAAAATATAGAGAGCCAAAATAAGAAAATAGTTCTAACCTAGGACACAGCACTGCCATCAGACTATAAGAGCAGGAGAGAGGAGAAAAGAAAAACAGACTAGCTGGGACAGAGGGAGAGTGGTGGAGGGTCAAGGGCACTTTGGTGGGGTTGTGTATAACAATTATTTACACTAATACCATAAAACTATGCAATTATATAAACTACAATAAATTAGACTGTAGCACTGCACTGTCCTCCTGTTGATTTGCTCGAAAGGGCACTAGTAATGTCTACATTGTGAGACTTATTGTTACTGTTTTTGGCATATCAATACTCCACCAGGAGCTTGCCAGGCTCTCCCATGTGGGCGGGATACTCTTGGTAGCTTGTTGGGCTCTCCGAGAGGGACGAAGGAATCGAACCCGGGTCAGCCATGTGCAAGGCAAATGCTCTAAAAGCTGTGCTATCGCTCCAGCCCTTTTTGTAGTACAGGAATTATTATATTGATTTAGTGGAATGTACCAGTCTTTCTGGCTTACTTTTTATCGTACTTATGAAGACTCTCCCACTTCAAGAGCATTAAACTCTTTTTCAGTTTTCTGATTTGACTTGTTAATTGATTTTCTTTTTTGTGAATTTGTATGTTTTTAATAACTCTGGAACATACTTTGGAATTAGTCATAAGTCTTAGTCTTAGTCATGTGACTAAGCCCAAAGTTATTATTTTCTCAAAATGGTTCTTACTTAAGGTGTTTTTAATCTTTTATTTAAAGTGCTATCCCTGAGGACTGGGTCAGGGAGATAGTGTAGGGGTTAGGGACACAAATTATGGTTCAATCTTTGGTGCTCTACACACCAGGAGGTAGTCCTGAAGGTCCATTACACTGCAAAGCTCATGAAGCACCACATCCGCAGGCCCTAGCGTTCAGTCCAGTCCAGTTGGGAGTGCATTGTTGGGAATGATTCCTAATACCCCTGACCACTGCTTGGACTGCTCTCCATAGAAATAATAAATTAAATGGTACCCTTATCAGCATGCTGAATCTCCAGGTCTTATGATTCATTTGGGCTTTGCTTCTTTGTCTGCTAATTGACAGTTTTGATTATTAAAGATATATAATGGGTTTTGATATATAAAAAGACTTGTCCTCTCTAATTAAAAAAATAATATTTTAGTGGTCAGAGCAATTATAGTTAGATGGATAGGTTGCTTTCCTTGTACATAGCCAATCTGGGTACATGACTCCAATATTCATAGCCAGAAATGACATAAATTCAAGAGAGAAATCTATTTTCTAATTAATGATGTAAAATACCTTTCATGGAGAATTTGGATTTTGAACCAAAAGCATCTGAAGTATCTGCAGGTATTTGTCCAGGTTTAAAAGACTTGATGGAGTAAATAACTGGAGGATAGAAAATTTATAAAAATGGATGAGGACTCGGGTTTCATTGGAAAGGAAATAAATAGTATGACAAAGTTGGCACTTGTAGGGGGCTGGAGCAGTATTAAGGCAGGTAGGGCATTTGCCTTGCACACGGCCCAACCGGATTTGATCCCCAGCATCCCATATGGTCCCCCGAGCACCGCCAGGTGTAATTCCTGAGTGCAGAGCCAGGAGTAACCCCTGAGTATCTCAAGGTTTGGCCCAAAAAGAAAAAAAAACCTGGCACTGTAACATTGTTTCACTATGTAGAAGATGAAGGCTTCCAAGTATTGTCTAGGTTTATTTGGCAGTCTCTAAGATATAGACCTCATATTCTATAATTAAGAGTTGATTTCTTTGTAGATTAACTAGTTTTTTTTCTTTTCGCAGGTTTCTTTGGTGAGCTTGGTAGCTAACGCACTGGGCTATTCAGAACTTGGTGCCATCAAATCCCTACGGACATTGAGAGCTTTGCGACCTCTAAGAGCTTTATCTCGATTTGAAGGAATGAGGGTAAGAAGAACAAAATCACTCTGATGATTCATGTCAAAATTAATGTAGCTAATGTAGATAATTAAGGGTGCCATACAATAAATGTATAATGAATTATCTTCAGATATTTATTCTATACAATATAGAATTTTAAGTGGAAATTTCAGAGATCAGAAAATTGAGCCTGATGAAAATGAGGTTGGTTTCCCAGTGTTCTCAGAAATTGTGAGAAAACAAAACTAGAATCCAAGACTTCTTATAACAGTTCAAAACCTTTCACATGTGCTTCATTTTTTCCCATTGGTTAGACATATTTAAATGATTGTTTACTACTGATGTTTATCCTAGGGTAGGTTTTCTCTCCCCTCAATAGGTAATTTGATTCCTCAAAAAGTTATTTGTAATGAAAGAAAGGTAAATGGTTTTTGTGTACTTTACCTCTTCAGTTAATATTAGGAAAGAAAATTGCTGTTGAACAAGAAAACAACATTAAATAGTAACCTTTGACAAAAATGCATGTGTCCTAAACAACCAAAGTAGGGGGTTAGGAAAATTAACCAGGCTTTCTTGCAACCCCTGGGGTTGGTTTTATAGATCTCCCTTTGAAGCAAGCATTTTGAATGTAGTGCTCTTTTTTCATAGCGCTTGTATTTTCCTCTTCAGTTCTCTTCTTTAGTATACATTTTATGCGTCTAAACATAAAGTATACACTTATAGAGATACACACCCACTTACCACGCCCCTCAAAATACTGTTTAGCACAAAGGCTAGCTTTGTTTAATCCAGCCTGAAAATGTACTTAGATATTGAATTTCTTCTAGAAAACAGGGCTTTTATGTTAGGAGGTGGTTTGTTGGGGGCAATAAACATACTTTAGGCTTGACTTCAAGATTTACTCACCAGGAAGAATGCAACTACTCCCCATACTTTGTACAAACATAATATGTAAAGGAATACAAGCTGTTATTTTATAATTTTATTTCATTGCTACTTGCTACAGGTAGTCACTAGACAAGACAACATTAATCAAAGTTATTGTGTAATTTCAAGTTCTTTCACATCAATTTTTTAGCATTGCTTAATTCCTCTAGCTATATTGGTTTTATATCAATAACCCAGTTTTATGATGAAATGGTAAATGACCAGGATTTAAAAATGTAAATTTCTCTGATATGAAGTTTGACATTTTTGATGTGGCCATATGGGAGAATTGACATCCCAGGTATTAAGTCTATGTACAAAATGTATCTTAAGTGGAGCCTAGAGATAACAATGAGTCCGACCCAGTTTCAATCCCCAGATCACCATGGCAACCTGAGTGCTACCAGGTGTTGCCCTGGAGACTCCAAGTTCTACTGAGGTAGCCCTGGTCAACACAGCATTCTCAGACCCTAGCATTGTATCATACAGTGAGGTTGACCAAGAATTGTGAGGAGTGCTGTGGTGACCCCCTAAACACCACATTGGAGAGACCTTCTCAAAATGTATGATAAAATGCATCATGATTCCTTTTTGCTAGTAAGATAAATTGTGGTTGTTGTTTCATTTTACTTTGGGGGGGGGAATTTGGGGATACGAAGCAGTGTTCAGGGGTTACTACTGGATTCTGTGCTCAGGGATCACTCACACTCACAATGGTGCTGAGGATACAATATGGCCATAATTGAATCAGGGTCAGCTGCATGCAATATAAGCACCTTACCTTCTGTACCTCTAGTCCATGTGAAGATTATTTTACATAAAATATTCACACAATTAAAAATAAAAAAACCTATCAAGCATAATTATGTAACTAAATTTCTAGAAGAAATAAAATTCAAGTAGTATATAAAGTTTTTGCAACTTCTAATTTTAAATTTTAATATAAATTTTTAGATTTTTATGTTGATTTATAAAGTTTGTTTATATTTTTTTAAAAAAAACCAGTGTTTTATCTGACATGAATGCTTAACAAAATAGTCTAATATAAACCAGGTTAAATTACATATAAAATTACAAGATTCTCTTTTTATATATTTTAAAACACATTCTAAAGTTTTATTGATTTAATTATAGGAAGGATGAGTAAGTCTCTCCTTAATGGGATATAGTTTGGAGTAGGCAAAATGTCATGTGCCCTCCAAGTGAACATTTAAGAAATTTCGAATAGAGCAATGAGAAATATTCAGTACTTTTATGTTCATAGATAAATTTTATTTTATTTTTTAATTCAATATCTATATTTTGGAGGTGATTTACTAATGGGAAAAAAGTACCTGATAAGTATCTAATATTATTAATAATAGTTATAACAAGTTACTTTGATATGGGGATATAGATTTAAGGAATTATTCCTGATTTAATTATAAGGAAGATGTTAAGACACTTTTTCTTTTTTCCCATGTCACTATGTTCCCTTATCAAATATATTAAAGAGCATCATAAGCATCATCTTGTTCACCAAATTTTTTTAGTTTAATTCTTTGGATACTCATTTTAGTATAAATAAATAAAAGAAGTGCTTTCCATTTGAGGAAATTGTAAACTGCCTTGTCCTCATTTCTTTTTCTAGGTGGTTGTGAATGCTCTTGTAGGGGCAATTCCCTCCATCATGAATGTGCTATTGGTTTGTCTTATATTCTGGCTGATTTTTAGCATCATGGGTGTGAATTTGTTTGCGGGCAAGTTCTACCACTGTGTTAACACAACTACAGATAGCATGTTTACAGTTAATGAAGTCAATAATTACAGCGACTGTCTGGCTCTTGGCAAGCAAGCACGATGGAAAAATGTGAAAGTAAATTTTGATAATGTTGGTGCTGGCTATCTAGCACTGCTTCAAGTGGTAAGTGACTAAAGTTTTAGTTTTGGAAAAATTTTTCAAAATGTTTCAAATAATATCATTTCTCTGATATTGACAGAAAAGTAGTTGATTACACCTACATCATTAGTAACTTGATTTCTTTACAGTCACTCAAATAAGCTTTTGAATGACTATAAAGAAAATTTTGCAGTTATTTTTATCTTACGAAGTATTTTCTCAGTGTTGAACTGTGTAAACTCAAAAAGACAGCTGCTGTCTATCTCTCCCGCCGCCTGTGTTCAGTAGCCTCACGCCAGTTCCCCCACCCCGGGGAGGTCGATGGAGGTGGTCAGGAGAAGGAAGGAAACAAGGGCCAGGCTGGTTGGTGTCAATTGCAGTTTATTCCATTCCCATCTCCATTCTCCTCTAATTCTCCTCCTGCTTCTTCTTCCCTCATGCTACTTCATTCTCCTTCTCAATCCCCCTTCATCCTCCTTCTGGCTCTGGAACCTGGATCTGGATACCCTTTCTCCTTTCCTTCTGGAGTCTGGACCTCCCAGCCCACTCTTACTGCCTAGTTAAATCCCCCCGCATGAGGGGTTGGGGCTTACACATAGGTGTCATCACAATCAATAAGGGTAAAATTCTTTCCCTCGGGCCGCTTCTAGAACAGATTCTCATTTAGCAGGTTGACCCACCCTAGAGCGGAATCCCATGGGTGTGTTTCTCGTTTCCTTGTCCAACAAACATATAAGCATTCATAATATTAATCATTTTGTATGGACACAATAAGAAATACATTAAGCTTATAGAATTGCTCTCCTAGGGCCATCTCGATCTCAGACTACAGTGCTCAGGCCAGATCTTCTTTCCTATCCCTAGCAGGGTCCTAGTCTTGTCGTTACTTTTGTTTTTTTTTTCTTTTTGAGTCACACCTGGCAATGCACAGGGGTTACTCCTGGCTCTGAGCTCAGGAATCACTCCTGACTGTGCTCAGGGGACCATATGGGATGCTGGAAATCGAACCCAGGTTGGCCGCGTGCAAGGCAAACGCCCTACCCACTGTGCTATTGCTCCAGCCCGTCGTCGTTACTTTTGGGTCATGACAGCATTTGTCTATGATCAAGCTCTTAACTTATAGTTAAGAATCGTGGCACTTTGGACTGGCCCATTTCGATGCCAGGGTAGCTCACAGCTTGCCCTGGGTCCATTCAGTCCCTCTTTGGGACCCTGATTTTGGGGTGCTAGGAACTAAGTGCAACTGAGGCTTAAGTTAAGAAAACAGATGCCCGGGAGTGAATAATATTCAAAGCCAATTAAATCCTAAGTTACAAAGCATATTATTAACTGTCTTCCTGTATCTATACAAAAAGGACATTGCATTAAAATAAACTACTCAAAGAACATAAGGAGAGGAGAAAGGCATTATTAGCTTACAAGTTCAGTGTCCTAGAAGGATATGACTTTACAAATTAATAGAGTCTGATTAGGGAAGAAAGCTGATTAACCAATTGGGGAGGAGAGCATAGGGAAAAGTTTACAGATAAACACAATGAAACGGAAGTGCCTCTGGAGCACTGTAATAAACCTGAGTTCCTTGTGGCAAGGGAGGAAGGACAAACCAATGTTATCCTACATTCAACTTCAGTATTTCTAATGTGGTTGTGTATGTTTTTCTTCCTATTCATCTTTGTTGTAGTTTTACTGCTGCTATGTCATTATCATTTTTAATTGTTATAGCAATCATTAGCAAAGGAGTAATTTCCTATAAAAATAATGTTTATAATAATGATGAATTAAAAATATTAACTCCATCATTGTACCAACAGCCAAGGAGTATATTACTACTATGTAGGAAAATACAGATCTCATTGGTGGTGGTTTTCAAAATGTGCACTATATAATGTGTATTTTTAATTTAATTGATAGGATATTAATTTACCCTTAGCTAATGAAAGTGATTAGTTGTGTTTAAATGAATTATGGAGTTTACCTTTTGGTGAGAAAGAGTGTTGAGTTTGAGAGTTTAATTAAATTTAATATAGAGAAGAATGTAATACTTTTCCAGAGAAAATAAGAAAATGAGTTCTTCTAAACTCTACATTCAATCTTATTCAGTTCACTTTATTTTTATTTAGTTTATATATATTTATAGAAAATTTTATTATGAAAATATTTTTATTATAAAAATAAATTTGTATTAATAGTACCTAAGTTTTCTGTAGTGAAATGCAATATTCTTGGATTAGGATTTTATGTAGAACTCATATAATTTGTTTACAGGCCACGTTTAAAGGTTGGATGGATATTATGTATGCAGCTGTTGATTCACGAGATGTAAGTATCACTCAAATGCATACAATTTATAGCTGCTTTATGTTCCATAATGAATACTTCTGATAACTGAAGATTCCAGAATTTTATTTTAGATATAATCTGTATGCCAAAATTGCATATGGAAATGATCTTCTAAAACTAATATATTACAATATGGATAGTATTTTGATCTAATATATAGCTACTATGAATGAAGTTATACTGCATGAATTTGAAAGCATTGAATTGTTCAGTAAATGAAACTGTTACAATGAGAAATCTGGAAAAATCTGGGAAGTTAACTACCTATATCTACAGAGTGCGGTAACCTAGAGTCGTTAAAATAGCTTACAAAACAGAATTTTAAAAGGAAAATTTAGAGTAACTCAAATTTAAAAACAGGAAAATTTAAAAACAGAAATTATTTGTTCATGCTTTAATTTTTCTCTGAAGTTTATATTTTCTTTCTAAATCTAGATTTTTAAAAGTATGCATCTCCAAACCTAATCAACACTATTGAAAAAATATATGACTAATAATGAGTTCAAACTGTTTGCTTTATTTACCATTGTTATTGATTTTCAATATATTTATGCAGTTAAGCCACTTAGAAAAATAATTTAAGGATAACAATGAAATTCCAGGTATTATTATATTGATCAAGGTAGTTAGAAAATATGTTAACTTATCAGAACAGAATCTCAGGGCAGGAAGTATAACACTATATTTAATGGCATCATTTCACCAAATTATTCAGTTTTTAAGTATTTATTGTGTTTTAAAATATTATGTCACATTTTCTATGTTATTTAGGTTAAACTTCAGCCTGTGTATGAAGAAAATCTCTACATGTATTTATATTTTGTCATCTTTATCATCTTTGGGTCATTCTTTACTCTGAATCTATTCATTGGTGTCATCATAGATAACTTCAACCAACAGAAAAAGAAGATAAGTATTTTCCACTTTTTACCTTTCTCCATTTTGAGTTTGTTTGTTCTACATTCCAATAATCAGGATCGTATATGGCAGACTTAAGTCATATTTGTATTCTTTTCCGTTTACTCAGTGGTCAGTTAAGATTTAGAGGATTTCTGCCTGATCCGCCTCTCCAAAATGGCCACCATGTGACTTTCACCCCAAATATGACCACTGCTTCAAAAACATCCACAAGGCCTTCAATACTTTACTCTTGCTATATAGTCTTTCAGGAATGTTTTATCAGTTTTATCTGATTCCCTAGCACATTTCCTATATATGCATCTCTATTTCTTAGTAACTACCTACTCACCATCAGCACGATCACTTGCTACCAAGTCTAGTTTTTTTTTTTAATGAATCACCATGAGATACGGTTAAAGATTTACAAACTTTGATGATTGCATTTCATTCAAACAATGTTTGAGTCTAGATTATTGAGACGGGAATTTTATGCCCTTTTCAGAGCAAACTATGTTTTGTATGTCATTTTAAATTGGCTATTTTCTTTTCTTGCACTGCTTGAATCAACTTCTTAACTTCTATGGTCTAGCTTAAGGTACTCTCAGATATGAAGTCAAGTTGCTTTTGTTTCTTCCTTTTGCAGATGACAATGTTTTCCTTGAAGGGCTTTTTGTCTTTGTCTTTTAAGCCTCCACTTTCCTCACCTATGTTTTCAATTTCCTACCATTTAAAATCAAGAATTTTGTGTTATTGATCTATGCAATGATAATAACAGGAACACTATCCATCATACAGAAAGTTATTGAAATGTATAGAATAAAAACCTGAAATAAACATTAAAACAAATTAAGAATAAATCCTTTATGTGAAAATATTTGCTCGAGCGGGCCCAGTAACATCTCCATTGGAGACTTTGTTGTTACTGTATCTGGCATATCGAATACTCTCGATAGCTTGCCGGGCTCTCCGAGAGGGGTGGAGGAATCGAACTCGGGTTGGCCATATTGGCCGCTTGTAAGGCGAACGCCCTACCGCTGTGCTATCGCTCCTTTAAATTGCCTTTTAAACATAACATAAAGATCCTGTACTAATCAGTTTTTTATCATAAGTTTAGCATAATATTAATTTTTCAGAAATTTATATTAATGGCAATGAAGATTGTATTTATATAAGCAGATAAATTAACAAACAGAAAAGATTAAAGGAAATACTCAAAAATACTTTTGTGGGGGTGTGATGCCACGACAGGTCAACCTGTACCCACAAGGAGAGTGCATCAGAAGCCTGATGTTACCTCAGGCTTCCTGATACCCCAAAATTGCTCTGTGCCTCTGACCAGATGCCAGCAACTCAGAACCAAGTTTCCCAAGAAATTATACAGCCAAAAGTTAGATATGTGGGAGCCACACCCACAAATGTGTGGCTCAGCTTCACAGGCTCATTTGTCGGCCTTGCTTCAGAGACCCATAAATAAATCTTGAAAGAAATCAAAAGCAGCAGTTAAATCTGGATCTGAACATGGCTGAACAGACCAGGATAAATCAGAGGGAGGCAGGTCAGCCTGGTGCATGCCCGAGCAGTATCCCTGGCAATCGCTTGTTTTCACAATCCAAAATCGCTGCCATTCTCCTGGCCGGACCTCACCATTTCAGAATGGGCCCACTGAGATATAGCACTGTAGTACTGTCCTCCCGTTGTTCACTGATTTGCTCGAGCAGGCACCAATAACGTCTCATAACAAATTGAGAGACTTGTTGTTACTGTTTTTGGCATATTGAATACATCACAAGGAGCTTGCCAGGCTTTGCTGTGCGGGTGAGATACTCTCAGTTGCTTGCCGGGCTCTCCGAGAGGGGCAGAGGAATCGAACCCGGGTTGGTCGTGTGCATTGTCTGCTGAAAATTCAAGTATGTGGGTTTTATGACTGAAATTTCCAGGCCTTTTCAGGGTAGAGATTGGCTACCTCCCCCCACTTCCCTGTACTCCTGGAAACATCAGCAGTCACCCCCATGAACCAACCCCAGCGTCACCATGTAAGCTCTTCTATAAGACTTGCTCCAGAGACCCATAAAAAAAATCTTGAAAAAGATCAAAGGCCGTAGCTAATCTCAGACCTGCACAAGGCCGAACAAACTGGGGTAAATTTGGAAATGGGATAGGTTAGCCTGGTGCTCTCCCAAGCAGAACCCCTGTAGTCTCTTGCTTCCACAATTCAAAATTGCCTCCATGTCCCTGGCTGGATTCCACCATCTCAGGATGGACCCCACTGAGATATAATCTGCTGAAAATTTGAGTAAAAGGGTTTTGAGACTAAAAACTCCAGGCTTCCTCACGGTTGGGATGAGCAACATCCCTCTGCCTTCCTGTATATGGAAGCCTCAACAGTCATGTCCACACCCCTAGGCTGTAATCCAGTTTAAAAGCTACTCCAGTCTTACCTTCTTGATAAAAATACTGAATCCCTTGAACAAACACGGTGACCTCTTAGTACCTGTATTGCAATTCATAAGGCACAAAAGGAAAAGGAAAGAGAAAGAATAAAATTGCCTGCCCAAGAGGCAGGCTAGGAGTGGGGGTTGGAATGTTGGTGTTGGGGGATGGTGGGAGGAAAACGAGGGACATTGATGGCGGGAAATGTACACTGGTGAAAGATGAGTGTTGGATCATTGTATGGCTGAAATCCAATCATGAATAGCTTTGTAATGGTCTATCTCATGATATTCAATAAAAAATTTTAAAAAAGTGTAATGTGGAGTTCATGCCTGCTTCAGTCAGCTTAATCAGTGGCTGAATAAATAACATTACTACTACATTAAAAGAAAACAAAAACTTTTGTAAAAGTGTGTTAACCCATGTCAGGATTGTAACTATTTTTATTTTTTTCTTTACTTTGGAGGTCAAGATATATTTATGACTGAGGAACAGAAAAAATATTACAATGCAATGAAGAAACTTGGATCCAAAAAACCTCAAAAACCTATACCTCGGCCAGGAGTAAGAATTGCTCATTTTCTTTAATATTTGTGTATGATTCTATTGGGCCATACTCTACATAAAAACATATTTAAGTTATATAATCAAAATATAATATGGCCAAATTGTAAATTTTATATTACAGAACATAATTAATGACTTCAATACTCCATATGAATTACTAATTTCTTTTAAAGTGGCAATTCTATGGTCTTGGTCATTTTGGTGATATGAAGATAAGGTAACTGTGTACATCAAACCATAAGAATTAACATAAATGTGAACATGAAAAAATAATAGTTTTTCAGCTATAATAAGAAAATAAATTTTAATGAGTGAGAAAGGAGGTAAGATAGGGAGAGGGGCATTGGTGGAGGGATACTAACACTAAATGTGGGTATAAAGTTACAACATTGAATGTGAGAGATCTGTGATCAACAGCTTTGCAACCCATGTGAAAAATATTTTTGATTTTTTTTTAATGTGGCCAAGGTTGAAAGGATAATACAGGAATTAAGGCACTTTCCTTATGCATAAATGACTAGAGTTTACTCTCCAGCACCACATATAGTCCCCTAAGTACCATCAGGAGTGATTCCCTGACCACAAGAGTCTAGGAGTAACTGAGTACCAGTGAGTGTGGTTCAGAAACCCAATAAATAAATTTTCAATGAAATAAATTTTAAAAGTAGCAATATACTTATGCTAGGGAGATAGATCAAAGGTCTGGAGCAAAAGCTTTGCATGCAGATGTCCCAAAGTTCTATCACTAGCACTACAAGATCTTTATTGCACCCCCAGTGGTGGTTTTGGAGTCCCACAGTACCACAGGGCCCAAGCAGGAGTGAGTAAGTATCAGCGAGAGGGTCCTCCAGACCCAAAGCACTGCATAGGGGTCCTTTCCTTTAGCCCCCAAAGAGACAATATTCTGTATAGTTTGTCAGTTGAAGACTTTCAACTTGGGGTTCTCACTGACTATTTCTGACACAGTCTACTGCTGATGCCAAAATGTAAGGGAATCTTGCTATTCTGATTTAAATAGAAACCTTTTTCCATTTAAATACATGCGGTTTTTATAGACTTATGCACTACCATAGCCTCTTTGTTCTCTTCATTATTATGATCAGAAACTATTCTTAACCATTTTAGGAGGGGAAAGGCATTATTATGGTTTATTTCACCAAAAATAAAAGAGAGTGCATACTCTACAGAGCTTCATAATAATGGAAGGCATAAGACATGAAAAAGTGTATTCTGTCTCATCTATCTTCTTAGGTGGGCAAGAAATAAGGAGCTGATACTTAGACATCAGACCCAAAGCTCACAAAGCCTGTTATTGCCAGGCCTGGAATTTAAAAATCTCTCATGAACCTTATACATAACGTCACCTTATTAATTTTAATAGTACTTGGAACCAAGTGAAAAACAGTGTGGTAATATGGGGGTTGAAAGGACAGGGTGCACAAAAAAGCATAAATGTGTTTTACAGGAACTCTGGTTTTAGGTAAAGTGCAAATTTTTATTTTTATCTTTCTCAATCATATATTGAAAACGTTGTTACATTTAATGGCCATATGAGTAAGGAAATCATTAAAAGCATGTAGCTCATTAGACTATTCTTATTAGGGCAAAAACAAAGAAAAACAAGTCAAATATTTTGATTGAGACATGAGGCATTGAAAAAGAATGACAAAGAAAAGAGTGATAAATAGACATAGCTTAACATAGTGAGGGAGAATTAAATTGAAAGCTAAGTAGAAAAAGACATATTTAGAAATATTGAGAGATGGAAATAAATTACAACGAAAACTCTGAATATAGTAATGAGTTGGGAAATTCATCCACAAAAAATTCTATCTACATTAACCTATTTATTATTAATCATTACTTTTGTAAAATCATCATACTTATTAAAATAAAGCAAAGGCCATGTATAATATCATTCATTTGTCACTAATGTCTTATTGAGGCTTATCTTTCATATATTTAGATGCACATAGATCTAATATTTTGCTCTTGTTACAGGAGCTTTGTTTCTCCCTTTTAATTAGTTGCCACTCCTTGTTGTGTGCAAGAGGCCACATGTTGACAGGCATCAAACCTAGGGCCTGGCAACACAAGCATATTCTCTGTATCACTTGAGCTATATTCCTGGACATCTTTTTTCTTTAATAATATGGAAAAATGAGCACACAGAATAGTTTCAGACTATTAGTTCATATCTCTTGGCCTTATATGGGAAGGCCACATTTGAAATTTTTCTTGAGAACTATTAATAAAATAATTGTATACTAATATGCATGTTAACTATATATTTTCTCTTTCTAGAACAAATTTCAAGGGATGGTCTTTGACTTTGTAACCAGACAAGTCTTTGACATCAGTATCATGATCCTCATCTGTCTCAACATGGTCACCATGATGGTGGAAACAGATGACCAGAGCAAATATATGACTCTAGTTTTGTCCCGAATCAATCTTGTGTTCATTATCCTATTTACTGGAGAATTTGTACTCAAGCTAATCTCCCTTAGATACTACTACTTTACCATAGGATGGAATATCTTTGATTTTGTGGTGGTGATTCTCTCCATTGTAGGTAAGAATGGTTTAATTACAGAGAAATACAGTTGCAGGAAAAACCTCACTCACGAGCTGACTGCTGTGTAAATGGACATTAGTTCTGAAAATCAACATGTTTGGAAATCTAAACTCACCACTAGTATTCATTTACCTCTAACTGAAATCAGCAATGAAAAATAATACATTAGAGGTTTCATAAATACTTTTTTGCTCAAAACATTTCAGGTAGGAAATTGGTTTCAAGTATTTAGACCCATATAATCTTAAATTGACATGCCGCTATAAAATTATTAAAATTTTGCAAACCTTCGTATTGGTTCATGACACTCTGCCACTGCATAAAACTCATAAAACTCTGTAACATTTCATTGCTAATAAAGAAAGTGGTTCCAAATACTTTGTACTAGTAATACGTTTAAACTCAAAAAAAGTTTTTCAAGTTTTCATAAACTTGCAAAGATAATATTCATAAGTGTAAGATACTGAATGTTCAGCTATTTTCTGTGTTTTTCCATAGGTATGTTTCTGGCTAAACTGATAGAAAAATATTTTGTGTCTCCTACCCTATTCCGAGTCATTCGTCTCGCCAGGATTGGTAGAGTCTTGCGTCTCATCAAAGGGGCCAAGGGGATCCGCACTCTGCTCTTTGCTCTGATGATGTCCCTCCCTGCCTTGTTTAATATTGGCCTCCTGCTCTTCCTGGTCATGTTCATCTACGCCATTTTTGGAATGTCCAACTTTGCCTATGTTAAAAAAGAAGCTGGAATTGATGACATGTTCAATTTTGAAACCTTCGGCAATAGCATGATTTGCCTATTTCAGATCACCACCTCTGCTGGCTGGGATGGATTGTTAGCACCTATACTCAACAGTGCACCCCCCGACTGTGACCCTGACAAAATTCACCCTGGAAGCTCAGTTAAGGGAGACTGTGGGAACCCATCTGTTGGGATTTTCTTCTTTGTCAGTTATATCATCATATCATTTCTGGTTGTGGTAAACATGTACATCGCTGTCATCTTGGAGAATTTCAGTGTTGCTACTGAAGAAAGTGCAGAGCCTCTGAGTGAGGATGACTTTGAGATGTTCTATGAGGTTTGGGAGAAGTTTGATCCGGATGCCACCCAGTTTATAGAGTTTGCTAAGCTCTCTGATTTTGCAGCTGCCCTGGATCCTCCTCTTCTTATAGCAAAACCGAACAAAGTCCAGCTCATTGCCATGGATTTGCCCATGGTCAGTGGGGACCGAATCCATTGCCTGGACATATTATTTGCCTTTACAAAGCGTGTTTTGGGTGAGAGTGGAGAGATGGATGCCCTACGAATTCAAATGGAAGACCGGTTCATGGCATCAAACCCTTCCAAAGTCTCCTATGAACCTATTACCACCACTTTGAAACGCAAACAGGAGGAGGTGTCTGCTGCTATCATTCAAAGAAATTTCAGATGTTTTCTTTTAAGGCAAAGGTTAAAAAAGGTATCAAGTGAATATAACAAAGAGGTTATCAAAGGAAGGATTGGCTTACCTATAAAAGAAGAGATGATTATTGACAAATTAAATGGGAACTCTACCCCGGAAAAAACAGATGGAAGTTCCTCTACCACCTCTCCTCCTTCTTATGATAGTGTAACAAAGCCAGACAAAGAAAAGTTTGAGAAAGACAAACCAGAAAAAGAAAACAGAGGAAAAGAGGTCAGGGAAAATCAAAAGTAAAAAGAAAATTATCTTTGTGATCAATTGTTTACAGCCTATGAAGGTAAAATCTAGGTATCAACTAGACTCTCAGAGGAGGTCTATGCCAAACTGACTGTTTTAACACATACTCATGGTCAGTGCCTATAACAAGACAGTGGCCTCTCTGTCACTACAACTCTGTGAGTCAGGGTATAACATTGACAAGAGGTTGCTTTTTTTTATTACCAGCTGACACTGCTGAGGAGAATTTCAATGGCTACCTAGACCGTAGGGTTAGTTGTGCAAAGTGGTCATTATAACTACACCAAACTCCTTTAGGACAGTACTTTGCATCCATTATATTTTTAACTTCCATATCTGCCATATTTTTACAAAATTTTTTTCTGGTGGATTTCCCTGGTCCCTAATTCATAGCTTATTCATAATACTCTCACTATTTTTGTAAATGAGGTTTAAGTTGAGAAAAAAAGTATATAAGATCTTCCTATTCCACAAGTCTCTCAAATAAGACAAAATAGTTTGCTTATGAGGTGAAATTTTTCTCAAAACCAGAAAAAAATTCTAATATCAATGATTTCAGGTACTTCCATTTTCTAGATGGCTTTAATTTTTAAAGTGTTTCAGTCTGTTGTGTTTGTTTATATCTAAACAGTTATGTGCCTGTAAAATCTCCTCTACATTTTAAAGGCTTATTTTTATGCAAAGTATTCTGTTTCAGCAAGTGCAAATTTTATTCTGAGTTCCAGAGATCTATATTTAATTTTGGTTAAATGCTTTCCCCAAAAAAAGTAATCTAATAAATCTGTTCTAGAAAAGCGTGTCTAAAGTATTGCTTTAGAATAGTTATTCCACTTTCTGCTGCAGTATGCTTTACCATCTTCTGTGCTCAGCGAAATTGACATTTTTGTCAATAATACACCCTCTGTTCTGTAAATAGTTACTTTAAACTGTGGTGCATATTTGAGTATATATAAATGTGTGTGTCTGTGCAAACACATACACACTATATATACATATATATTGTGATAAACTGCCCCTTTTAAATCAAATATGTACCACAGTTGTATGTGTCCTTTGCGTGCTTCTAATAGGGGTATATCTATCCTATACCATTCATTAAACATTAATAGTTTGAAGGCTACCACTAATGCATGTTAATATTGCCTATGCTACCCTGTTTTACTCAGTCCATTCTTCACAAGTTCTGGTTAGAAGTCACAAGTTGGTGGTACATTGAATTCCACCAGCTGTCTATTACACCAAGCAGAATAGATTGCATTCATTAAAAGCCCCTTTCTTTTGCATTTTTACTTCAATTAGGTGTTGTATGGTGTCTCACTAGATTTTAAAAAAATAAACTGCATACTGCCTATTGTGCAAATCTATGCTTCATGTTTTGCTAAAAATATGTCCAAAATTTGTTTAACTATAAATAATGTAAAAATATGATCGATTTTATTTGCCACATTTTGTACATAAGAAAATTATTTTCAAGTTGATGACATGGCAATTTATTTTACTTTATGCTTTTGCTTTTTATTTTTAATCATAACTCAAACTTTTGAATCCATAATACTTTTCAATGAATAATTTCCTAAAATAAAGTTAGACAATGGGTTTTGTGGATTTGTTTGTTATAATATATTTTCTACCATTCCAATAGGAAATACATTGGTCAAAAAATCAAACCTAGATCATTTTCTACCAATTATGATTGCCTCGATATATAACCCTTTATTCATGAAAGGTTTTTTTTTACTCAACTTTTGTAGTATTTGCTTATGCAGACTAGTCTTATTTTTTTAATTAACGCTGCACTAAAGCTATTAGAGATATAACATGGGCTCTGTCCTCTTTAGCCATGACCAAAGTGGCGAAGTTGTGCAATTACCTAACATGATATAACTTTTTGTGTTTCGCACAAACCAAAAGGTTACTGTTAATTCCTTTTATGAAATTATTTACTTGTAGTGTATTGATAAAATGCATGCAGGGAATTGCTATTACTAAAAGGAATGGTAAGCTACGTCATTATTGAGCCAAAAGAATAAATATTTCATTTTTTATTGTATTTAATTCCTGGCCTCTTTTTTTACTGTTGAAAGTTAAAATCTATATATACACATTTAATCGAAAACATTGATCTTAAATTTATATACATGCAAGTTCACATGAATTTTAAAATAATGCAGTATATTGAATGAAAGCTATCAAAAATGGTTTTGGTGAACCTCTGTTCACTATGAACAAAACAAATCAAATTCAATAAAACATCATCAGACACAATGAATCAAACACATGTTCCAACTTGCAGGTTCAATAACACTAATGGTAACCATCTACAGTGACTATTAATTCTAATAAATCTCAATGACTATAGATATTTAATTCCTACTCTTCTATAAGTTGGCAATGTTACATATGTTTAAGTTTTGCATTTTATTAGTTTTTAATGGTACGCAATTAATAATGCAGTGTTTAAGAATTTATATCAACTTTGTAATGGTTCTTTGGCTCTATGTAACTTCAAAATCAAATGTCCATTCTTAGTGAAAATATCCAGTTGCCATGCATATTTTTAAAATAATTAGGTCAAAACATGTATTTTATAATTTCCCAAATAAAATATTATAAAGGGAACTGGAATTCATTGGATTTTTATAGATCTTGACAACAATCAATTTTCAGATCTTGCGAACACCACAAAGAAATTAGATATTATTTTGCAAAACCTTTTAATTCATCCAATTTTATAATCACTTGCCACACAATCCACTAATTGATATACATTGTCTAAATGGTGATCTACAAAAATGCAAGATAATTTAATAAAAATTAATATTAAAAATGTACCCACTAACTAAAAGATATTCTGAAAAAAACTGCTGAAAATACAGAATTGCTAATACAATTCAATTTATTTTTAAATAAATACTTTCAAAAGAAATATTTTTACCAACATCACGATATAATTCTGCTTTAAAAGATTTTATCATGGGGCTGGAGCAATAGCACAGAGGGTAGGGCATTTGCCTTGCATGCGGCCAAACCGGGTTCGATTCCCAGCATCCCATATGGTCCCCTGAGCACCGCTAGGGGTGATTTCTGAGTGCAGAGCCAGCAGTAACCTCTGTGCATCCCTGAGTGTGACCCAAAAGACAAAAAAAAAGAGATTTTATCAAATTGTATATAAAAATAAAATTATAATACACTCACATAAAATGACAGCAAACTTTTTATCCTTAACTAAGGAAACAGCATTTGTGTGAAGAGAACAATGGGCTTCCAAATATTGTTGAAAAAAGATACTTTGTTAAAAATATTTGTTACTAATTTTCAAATAACTAGGATACAATAAATAGCAATCAATCTGTGCATTTCATACTACTTAGCTGTAATGATAGTTCTGGAATCAACTTAGTAATTTTAATTACACAAATCAAAATTGTGACTCTTCCCCTTGTTTTGTATGAAATTGAGAGCTTTAATTGGGAGTGTTATCTTCAATAAGCCATCAATTCTAAAATTTATATTCAAAGTTAATTTGCCTGTAATTACCATGAATTCATCTAGATGGACAATATTCAGAGAGTAAAAATTGCATATTTTCAGTATACCATTAAAAATATTACACAAATGAGTTTGATCCTACAATAGTTCATTTAAGAAAACTTTTCTGGTTCTCAAAGATTTTATACCAAAAACTGAGGAATGTATCAAATAATTTAAATTTTAACTATTGCTTCTTATTTAAGATGCTACAGATATCTACAATATCTGTATTGTTATATCATGTTACATATAACAATAAATTAAAAGAAAAAATCAGTAGGCTTTTTTCTTTTTTTTCTTTTTTTTTATTTTTGCTTTTTGGGTCACACCTGGCGATGCACAGTGGTTACTCCTGGCTCTGTGCTCAGGAATTATCCCTGGAGGTGCTCAGGGGACCATATGGGATGCTGGGAATCGAGCAGCATGCAAGGCAAACATCCTACACGTGGTGCTATTGCTCCAGCCCCTAGTAGGCTTTTTGAAAGTAGTAGGTAAATATACATGCATCTTAACAATAATTAACACTTGAGAAAATAAAAATTAAATTAACATTTTCCACAAGATTTTAGGAAGTTAGAATTATGTCTTATACTCCATAAAGCACAATGTTTGTTGCAAAATAAAAAAATCATTTTCTTATCTTATAATAATATCTAAAATATTTCACTCTCTCTGGAGAGAAAAGAATCAATGATTTGATTCAAAATTTTTGTTACTAGTTAAAGGGTCTTTTGGTCAATAAGTTTATACCCTTTCCTGTTCAGAATTTTTCTTTTTTTCTTTTTTTGGCTTTGAGGGTCATGCCCCAAGATGTTCATGGGTTATTCCTGGCTCTGCACCCAGAAATTATTCCTTGTGCTCAGGAGACCATATGGGATACCAAGATTCGAATCTGGATGGGCTGCATGAAAGGCAAATGCCCTTTTCTCTGTACCATTGCTGGGGCCCCTGTTTAGAATTTTTTGGTTCTTCATAATTCTGCCAGATAATGTACATATCTGCAGTTCTTTATCCTGGTAGTCTCCCCTGGATCACAAGATTATTTTTCTTTTTATTACAGATTTTAAAATTCTGCATAATCTGGCCTACACACTCCCATGACAATCATTTACCACCAGCCACCACTCCATGAACCTGTTCCAGCAAGTTCGTGTAATCTCCAGTTACATGATGCTTTGACATTTCTCTTGTCTTTCACAAGTTACTCTCTCTGTTTGAAATGTGCTTTCCTCTATTTTGTGTGTGTCAAATTATTGTCTTTTAATACCTAGATCAAATATCAAATATCATCACTTTTATGAGGCTTCTTCAGATTTTCCCATATAAGATAAATGATTTCTACTCATTCACCTACGATGCACATTATATCAGACTATGCTGTATTGTCTCATCTACTTTTATCTTTTCTAATAGATTCTAGTATACCCAAGATATAATATACCTCTCATTACTTTTCTTACCCTTTGTTATAAAGAAAGGCTAGCAGACTATCAATATCTAAAAATATTCAAATATGTGACTTGTAGAATTGTTCCTTAAAGGAATTCACAAAATATTTACATGCCAAACTAATTTCTATTCTTTACTAAGGAAAATTTTCAAATTTAGCATCTAAATTAAAATAATACTTCCTTATATTCAAGTAAAATATTTATTATTTTGCAAAAAAAATCTTGCAATAATTTCTATTTTGTAACTTCAGTTTACTAGTAATGTCTGTCACTTAATAAAAATTACTGAGGAAAAATACTCACTTTTTAAATTTTATCAGTGAAAAATAGTCTTTTGTAGTTATCTTCAATTAAATACATTGCATGTATAAAAATAGATGTTTTACTTCACTATGTTAATCATGTATTCACTTTAATAATTTATTATTATCTTAATGATATGATTTTGCTTAATAAATTTATTATGTTATAAAACAGCTATCCTAAAACTTTCCTAACATAAAATATATAAAACAAAATAAAAAGATTTTAAAAGAACATTTAATGTAAGATAGAACTTATAAGAAAGAAAGAAGAATTTCCTGCAGCTTGGATAAAAGTAAATAAGAACTTAAAGAGAGCTCATTGACAAATCCAAGTATGAATGTTCACCAGTCAAAGGCCTTTTCCTCAAGAGACAAGATGATGAAAAAAAGAAAAAAAATTAAAGCATGAAACAGCAGTTTTAAGTGTCTGCAATCTGAGAAGATGGATAAATCTTTGTCTCCTCCAAATTCCATTTTACTATTAGGTAGGTGGTAGTGGTTTATAGAGGGCTGTGTAAGTAAGTCTAAAGAAATATATGGTCCTATGTCAATAGGAGGAAGTCCTATCCAAAACCAGGGATTAATGAATCCTGGGTGTTGGTAGTATGTTTCTTGTAAAACTGTGAGATAACTTGGTTAAATAACATCCATCTCTGGGATCTGCATAATAACCTTCAGAATCTTTCCAGAAGGCCCG